CCCCCCCCTGCCTTCCCGCCTATCAACCTCGCAGCACGCGCTGTCCCGAGCCCGCTCCCGGTCCTTAAAGTTAATATATGTTGAAATCACAACACTGGCACTGCGATGACACAGAGGAAGGGATTATTCTTTTTATCTTCTTCCCCAGGCCAAGGGCAGATGGGGGACTCGCATTTAGGCCACACCGGAGGAGAGCTCATAATAGGCCACTGTGGCTCCATCGGATCCCGCAAGCGCGATGAGCACGGACTGGTCGACGGTCGCTGTGCCGCCCGTTGGCGAGAGAACCAAGTTCTGTGCTATGGCTACGATGCGAGCCAGCACCGCTGACAAACTGGTGTGTTATGGTGAGTTGGAGGGAGGGGGAGGGGGAAGAAGCGGGCAACAGGTGTCCGGGTATGTGCATGCATGCATGCATGCATGTATGCAAACATGTAAATGCAAACCCGAGGCGTACATGGCGATGTCCGGCAGTGATGAGGAGCTCTCGAGGATGAAGGCGCACTATGGGCCCAACCAAGGAAGATGGCGGAGAGGTGAGATTACAGCGGTGTCCAGCGATGAACACGCACATGTGAATGCGTGAGTGTGTGCGTGTGTGTGTGTGTGCGTGTGCGTGTGTGAGTGTGTTTATTCGCGCGTGTATGCGTACCTGATAGCACGACGAGTCAATACCATCACGATGAAGAACCAGAAAGTAGGGCGGGACCTTATCCAAGCCGCCAGGTCCAGCGGCCACAGCTGTGTCCACCTCTAGGGCAACCAGGTGGCTGAGTACCAGGTCCTGGTCTTGGGTGGGGGAATGTCAGGCGAGAGTCAGCATTCTTGCTCCTGTGTGTGTGTGTGTGTGTGTGTGTGTGGGCATGGCCTCGCAGATGAAGCCAAGGAGTTGGTTCGCACCTTCAAGATCCGATAGCACCGTGCGAAAGGTCCGGCTGAAGGCGTCCACATGGGCGGCCACAGTGTGGCGATTGAAGGCTTGAGACCGGACACCGCTCAGAGGTACAGAGGTGGGAGCGCAGCCCATTTGGGGCAGACAGGGTGACATGGCTGGATGTGCAGGCGCATGTGGGTGCATGTGCGTTTAAAGGAACAGATGGGTATAATTATAGATATGGTACGTGTGTGATGGAGCTTGCTGCGGCATACGTGGGCCACGGCGGTGCGGCGGCGAGTCAAGGAGAGGGGCTGTGTCTTGGGGGGGTCTCGGTCAGACCCGGTGAAGCGTGCGCGATTGTTGTGGGTACAAATGTGCAGGATCCCCTTGGTCCCGAGTGGGCGGCCCCCCGTGGGGGCCGCCTGCTTCCTTGCTCCCTTCTTTCTTTTGCTCTCTCTCTCTCTCTCTCTCTCTCTCTCTCTCTCTCTCTCTCGCGCGCGCGCGCGCGCTCTTGGCGCATGGTCTGTTCTTGGATGGATTCTCGCTGGTCGGCCCCTGGTGGCCGCTGGGGAAAAAACAAGCAGGAGAAAGAGCCAGGGCGAGAGAGAGAGAGAGAGAGAAGGAGACCGAGAGACAAGCGGCATCTTGGCTAGACAGTCGCAGCGCTTTCATGGGCACCCGAGGCGGGTCTACGAAACCAGAACACCATCCGCGAGGACCGGCCCAAGCCCTGAAGGTACGGACCCTCCAGCTTGGGGTCCTAGGGTTGGCGGGGAGGTCGGGGAGGATCTGATCTTTCCGCGACCTAGCTATTGGCCAGCGAAAATCCCCTCCAAATGTGACGGTACAATTTTTGCCACGATCTTCTGTCCTCGCGCTCCGGTCCGTTGACACCGGCGGCACCTCCGGTCTATGATGAGGCGCCGCCATGGGCGCGTGCCCGCGCGCGGGGCCAACCTTCCCGCCCTCCAGGCGCCTTGTGAGCAGGCGGCCCACTCCGCAATGCGTCCGGGCGCCACATTCTGGCGGGGGCAAGGCGAGGGGCGGGGGGGGTGCGAATGACCTTCCCGTGCATCCCGAGTGGAAAAAGCCCCCCCGAAGGCGGTGGTGCGGCTGAGGCTGGATGCGGCGTGCCCTGGCCGAATCCCGGACCGTGTACCCCCCCTCTTCCCCCTTGCACCCTTTCTGGCCCCGCGAGGGGGTCGGGGGCGGCAGGGCGACCGTTACAGCACGCCGGCTGGTATTCCTCCGCCGGGGGCGAGGCAGCAACGTCCGGCGGGTCTTCGGGCCGGATATTTAAATTCCCCCCGGCCCAGCCCGAAGGCATGAGGAGTACGTCGGTCGGTCGGTCGGTCGGTCGGTCCGTCCGCCGATCGTCCCCCCGTCTGCCTCCCCGTGCGGCTTAATCTCGCCAACGTGCACGCGAGCACCCTGCCCTTCTCCACTGGCGGGGTTGGGGGGCGAGAGGAGGCGACACGGACACAAGTGGCAGCCAAGGACGAAGTCAGACAGGCAGAGGTGGGGGCTAACTCGGTGTCCGAGTCGCCCCCCCCCCCCCCCGCCCCCCTCCCCCTCGACATATCTTATCGGCCGGTCCGCGCTCGTTTGCCGATCCTTAGGCTCGAGCAACCCGTCTCCTACCCCCTCCTCTCCTCCCCTTCGCCTCTGTTCCTTCTCTCCTCACCCCCTCACCCCTGCCTCTGTTGGCACATTGCGAGGGGAAGAGCGCGGGGCTGCGCACAAGCACACCTAGACACATTAGTACATCCAGGCGCACGTATACGTGCCTGGGCTCCTGATTGCGGACCTGGCCATCCTTCCAAGGGTAAGTCTGAAAGCAAGAACTTCTGGCTTTCCCCTATTCTCCCCCCCCCCCTCTCTCTCCCATCCTCCTTGCGCATCCTCTCCCCACTTCTTTGCGGCATATGTCCTTCACGCCCTACTCGGGGGGGCCACCGCCATCCGCTGGCCTTCTGTTCGGGGGCGGTCGACCGCCGGCCGAGCCGCTGATTATTGGGCTGGAAGACTTGAGCCCTGTGGCGCCCGCACCGTCATTAGATGCCCCGTTCGTAGACAGAAGTGCGCCCTTCTACTTCGGAACTCAGTCGCCGTCGATGCCACCGTCGATGCCGCCGTCGATGCCACCGTCGATGCCGCCGTCGATGCCGCCGCCGATGCCGCCGCCGATGCCGCCGTCGATGCCGCCGCCGATGCCGCCGTCGATGCCGCCGTCGATGCCGCCGTCGATGCCGCCGTCGATGCCGCCGTCGATGCCGCCG